AAGGTATAAAAAAATATACATTTTTTCTTCTTTTATTATCCCGATATTTAACTTATATGTTTATAGCATCATAGAAGGATATAGGTATGCAAAAGGTATAAGAATTATATATGTTGTTTTTCTACCTTTATCATCCTGATATTTATCTTGCATGCTAATAACATCCTAGAAGAATATAGGCAGACAAAAGGTAAAAGAATTATATATGTTGTTTTTCTAGCTTTATCATCCTGATATTCAATTTACATCATAGAAGGATATAGGTATGTAAAAGGTATAAGAATTATATATGTTATTTTTCTATCTTTATCATCCTGATATTCATCTTGCATGCTAATAATATCCTAGAAGAATATAGGTAGACAAAAGGTAAAAGAATTATATATGTTATTTATCTATCTTTATTATTTTGATATTCAATTTACATCATAGTAGAATATAGGTATACAAAAGGTAAAAGAATTATATATATTGTTTTTCTACCTTTATTATCTCAATATTCATCTTACATGCAAATAATATTCTAGAAGGATATAGGTATACAAAAGGTAAAAGAATTATATATTATTTTTCTACCTTTATCAACCCAATATTCAATTTACATTATAGTAGAATATAGGTATACAAAAGATAAAAGAATTATATATGTAGTTTTTCTATCTTTATTATCCCAATATTTATTTTATATGCTAATAATATCCTAGAAGAATATAGGTATACAAAAGGTATAAGTAATACATACTTTTTTTCTTCTTTTACTATTCTGATATTCAACTTACATGCTAATAACATCCTATAAGGATATAGGTATACAAAAAGTAAAAAAAATTATATATATATATTTTTTACAAGTTAAATTAATAAATATTAGATATATACCAGAAGACAGGTTCTCTGTTATATATCTGATAGTCTAATTTTGCAATATATTGTAAGATATCATAAGGTATATTGATATTGGTAAAATAGTAACATGATATTAGGATATTCTAATATCTTATCTTTAGCACTCTGGGCCTAAAAATAAGATATCAGAATATTTCAATATTTTGCTATTATATTGCTAATATCAATCTACTAATATCTTATCAATATTTTGCCAATACGCTGTTGATATATAGTATTTGGCATATCTATAGCAGACTATTAGAAATATAACAAAAAATTTGTCTTCTAGTATATACCAATATTCATAAATTCAATATGTAAAATGTAATAAACTCTGAATTGCTAGGTTACATTACAAGCCTAGCATAACCACCATGATTAGTAACATGCTTAGTATCACTACCATAATCAGTTATATAATCACTTTTTAAATTTTAATCTGTGTACAAGAATAACAAAATTATGAAATTATAAGATTTTTTGAAGAAATAATTGAAGTTTTTTTATATTTTATTTAATTTAATTATCCAAATTCTAAGTCAAAATATATTCGATTTGAATGTACATAATGCATTTACATTCAGATTCAAATTTTATTTAATATATGTACTGTATAAAGCTTCAAATTTTATTTAATATATGCATAAAGCTTTAAATTTTACTTAATACACATATAAAGCTTTAAATTTTACATATAAAGCTTTAAATTTGAATTTAATACTACCAATAAAAAATGGCTTTTTTACATCTACTCCAAGTTTTTAAAAGCTTTTTTGCTCATTCGAAATCTTTAATATGTATCATTTACCATTTTCTAAATAGATTTAAGGTTTGATTCAATACTTCTAAGCCATTTTTTTTGTTTGGAAAGATTATTGCGCCTAAAACATAAATACATTTATTTAAACACAGAAATATAATGATAAAAAAAAAAAATCCTTTTATACTTCATGAAGAGTTTTTTATATTTTCTTAAAATTTCAGATTCGGATTTACTACCGTCAGTACTTAATTCCTCATTATCTATATTCTGGTTTTCCGAATTTATCAGATCGATCGTTAGTTGACTTGTGTGTAATCAATTAAGGTTGATGTACGAATATTTTTCCATAAAGTTTCTTTAGCTTCTGTAATCAAAGAATATATAACCATCTCCCCTTTCACAGATCTTTACAATCTTAAATGCTAATAAACTTGCAAAAGCTTCATCTATATCGTTTATTTCCAATTTATTAGCTATTTAGGAAATATCTACAAGATCTATAAAATATTGCTTTCTCCTTCAAAATCTATAAGTTTTTCATTCAAGCTCTTCAAATTTTATGGTATTTTCTTTTTTCTTGTGAATATCGTTTAAAATTTGATCTTTACATTTCTGTTTTTGCTTTCAGTTACACAGTAATTTTAATGTCAGCAATAAATTTAAGATCTATAATATGTAACTGATCATGGTGGTGATATTAGATAGGTCTATGATCAGTTATGTACGGAGTTGAAATTAATTACCAAAATTTTAATGTCATAGTTAATACAAGTGTTATTTAAAAATTTCTTATTTAAACAGTGGTTATATAATTAATGATTATCATTGATTATCATTATCATTCTTTTTTTTTTATGTAATTACATACGTATATTTCGACTATTTATTTTAATTGATTTTGATCTTCTAAAAATTTTACTATTACCTTTTCTTTTTCCTCTTTGTCATTTCTTCATATATAATTATGTTTTTGGCCTTGTGAATACTACTATATATATTGTACTACTTGTCTTTGATTCCTTGAACACGTTAACTAACACCCTTCTTTTTTCCAGGTGGTTCACAGATTTCTCTTCATCGATTCTTCGTATATAATTATGTTTTCGGCCTTGGTGAATACTATATACTGTGCCACTTAGTTTTGATTTCTTAAACACATTAACTACCACCCTTTTTTTTCTAGGTGGTTCACAGATTTCTCTTTGTCGATTCTTCGCATATAATTATGTTTTCGGCCTTGGTGAATACTATATATTTTGCCACTTGGTTTTGATTCCTTGAACATGTTAACTACTACCCTTCTTTTTCTAGGTGGGTCAGGGATTTCTTTTCGTCGATTCTTCGTATATAATTATGTTTTTGGTCTTGGTGAATACTACTGTATATATTGTGCTACTTGGTTTTGATTCCTTGAACACATTAACTACCACCCTTCTTTTTTCCAGATGGGTCATGGATTTCTCTTCGTTGATATAATTATATTTCCGGCCTTGGTGAATACTATATATTGTGCTACTTGGTTTTGATTCCTTGACTATGTTAACTACACCTTTTTTTTTTCCAAATAGGTCATGAATTTCTCTTTGTTGATTCTTTGTATATAATTATGTTTTAGACCTTGGTGAATACTATATATTGTGCCACTTGGTTTTGATTTCTTGAACATGTTAACTACTACCCTTCTTTTTCCAGGTGGGTTATGGATTTCTCTTCATCAATTCTTCGTATATAATTATGTTTTCAGCCTTGATAAATACTATATATGATACCACTTGGTTTTGATTCCTTGAACACGTTAACTACCACCCTTTTTTTTTCCAGATGGTTCACAGATTTCTCTTTATTAATTCTTCATATATAATTATGTTTTTGGCCTTGGTAAATACTACTGTATATATTATGCCACTTATTTTGATTCTTTGAACATGTTAACTATCACCCTTCTTTTTTCCAGGTGGGTCATGGATTTTTCTTTGTCGATTCTTCATATATAATTATGTTTTTGGCCTTGGTGAATACTATATATTGTGCCACTTGGTTTTGATTCCTTAAACACATTAACTACCACTCTTTTTTTTTCCAGGTAGTTCACAGATTTCTCTTCATTGATTCTTTGTATATAATTATGCTTTCGGCCTTGGTAAATACTATATATTGTGCCACTTGGTTTTGATTCCTTGAACATGTTAACTACTACTCTTCTTTTCTTCAGGTGGGTCATGGATTTCTCTTTGTCGATTCTTCATATATAATTATGTTTTTGGCCTTGGTGAATACTACTGTATATATTGTACCACATGGTTTTGATTCCTTAAACATGTTAACTATCACCCTTTTTTTTTTAGGTGGTTTACAAATTTCTCTTCATCGATTCTTCGTATATAATTATGTTTTCGGCCTTGGTGAATACTATATATTGTGCCACTTGGTTTTGATTCCTTGAATACATTAACTACCACCCTTCTTTTTTCCAGGTGGTTCACAGATTTCTCTTTGTCGATTCTTCATATATAATTGTGCCACTTGGTTTTGATTCCTTGAACATGTTAACTACCACCCTTTTTTTTTCCAGGTAGTTCACAGATTTCTCTTCATTGATTCTTCATATATAATTATGTTTTTGGCCTTGATGAATACTACTGTATATATTGTGCCACTTGGTTTTGATTCTTTGAACATGTTAACTATCACCCTTCTTTTTTCCAAGTGAATCATGGATTTTTCTTTGTTAATTCTTTGTATATAATTATATTTTCGGCCTTGGTAAATACTATATATTGTGCCACTTGGTTTTGATTTCTTGAACACGTTAACTACCACACTTTTTTTTTCTAGATGGTTTACAGATTTCTCTTCGTCGATTCTTCATATATAATTATGTTTTCGGCCTTAGTGAATACTATATATTGTGCCACTTGGTTTTGATTCCTTGAACATATTAACTACCACTCTTCTTTTTTTCAAATAGGTCATAGATTTCTCTTCGTCGATTCTTCACATATAATTATGTTTTTGGCCTTGGTGAATACTACTATATATATTGTGCTACTTGGTTTTGATTCCTTAAACACATTAACTACCACACTTTTTTTTCCAGATGGTTCACAAATTTCTTCATCAATTCTTTATATATAATTATGTTTTTGGCCTTAGTGAATACTATATATTATGCCACTTGGTTTTGATTCCTTAAACATGTTAACTACTACCCTTCTTTTTTCCAGGTGGTTCACAGATTTCTCTTCATCGATTCTTCATATATAATTATGTTTTCAGCCTTTGTGAATACTATATATTGTGCCACTTGGTTTTGATTCCTTGAACATGTTAACTACCACCCTTTTTTTTCCAGATGGTTCACAGATTTCTCTTTGTTGATTCTTCATATATAATTATATTTTCAGCCTTGGTAAATACTATATATTGTGCTACTTGGTTTTGATTTCTTGAACATGTTAACTACCACTCTTCTTTTTTCCAGGTGGGTTATGGATTTCTCTTTGTCGATTCTTTATATATAATTATGTTTTTGGCCTTGGTGAATACTACTGTATATATTGTTCCACTTGGTTTTGATTCCTTAATCATGTTAACTACACTCTTCTTTTTTCCAAATGGGTTATGGATTTCTCTTCGTCGATTCTTCGTATATAATTATGTTTTTTGCCTTGGTAAATACTATATATTGTGCCACTTGGTTTTGATTTCTTGAACATGTTAACTACCATCCTTCTTTTTTCCAGATAGTTCACAGATTTCTCTTCGTCGATTCTTCGTATATAATTATATTTTCAGTCTTGGTGAATACTACTATATATATTGTGCCACTTGGTTTTGATTTCTTGAACACGTTAACTACCACCCTTTTTTTTCCAGGTAGTTATGGATTTCTCTTTGTCGATTCTTTATATATAATTATGTTTTCAGCCTTGGTGAATACTATATATTGTGCTACTTGGTTTTGATTTCTTGAACACATTAACTACTACTCTTCTCTTTTCAGGTGGGTCATGGATTTCTCTTCATTATTTCTTTGTATATAATTATGTTTTCAGCCTTGGTGAATACTATATATTGTGCTACTTGATTTTGATTTCTTGAATACATTAACTACTACCCTTCTCTTTCCAGGTGAGTTTTAGATTTCTCTTCATCGTTTCTTCATATATAATTATGTTTTTGGCCTTGGTGAATACTATATATTGTGCTAATTGATTGGGGCTTGTGTTGGATTGTTATTGGTGATTTGAATATGTTTGCTATACGATTATATTATTTGTTGTAACAATTTTGAACCTGTAATAAATTTTTATATTAAAAATAAAATTAATAAAATTTATATATTTAAACTATATAATTAAAAGTTTTAGTAAAATAATTATTGTATAGATCTGATATACTTTTTAGTTAACTGATATTTATTTTTGCATGTACTATTATTTACCTTTTATGTTACTGTCACCAATATTGGTAACAAAATATATACATAAAATATCAATATCAGGATAAGTAATAGATATTCCACAGGCTATTGTGAATATCATGGATTAGTATGGCGAAGCCGTGGTAATACATGGTGTATGTGGAATATCTTTTATATTTCACAGTTCCTATGCCCATAGCATTTCTGATTAAAATTTTACTGATGATGTAATGTCCATGGAATAATTTTTGATATTTTTATAGAATTACGTCATCATAAAAATATCATCAGAAATGTTTACGGGAGAACATTAGGGGCCATGGAATAGAGGCCTGCATTGGGTCCCAAAGCCCGGCCCAGGCCCGCCCAGCCCGGTGTGCGGGCCTGGGCGGGCCTAAAAAAAATTTTTATAATCGCGGGCCGGGCCGGGCTGAAA